GTTCGAACCACAATCGTTCCTCCCCCCCACCCTTACAAACAAAATCAATGGTCATAGTCATAGGCGGTACTAGACCCTCTTGGCAGGGGGGGCCAGAAAATATTTAAACTATCTAACTATATGTTGGGAAGGGGGGGGGGTCGTTAATGGGTGACTTCCCCTTCACCCCAATAAAACCCCTTCCAATTTACTCATTGAATAATTTTGTAAATAAAAAGGTGGGTAAGTGGATGTCGCTCTGCTGTACTGTAGGTTACAAGTGGGTCACTGTATAATGAATGGTATTAAATTTGAATGCAATGATATAATATCATTGTATTAGAAAAACGATTCTGAGCGCAGACGGTATGTCAGTCTAGGTATAAGACATATTATATACTTTTCTATGGTATTAAAATATTAAATTATATGGAATTTATGAATAAATTCCTTAAAATATGCACAGTCTTATCATGAGCATAATTGTTATTTCTTATACTATGGTAGATTGTATGGATAGGCCATAATATTTTGATTTTTCAGTTTCATATATCCCCGAATAATATTTTTAAATTACAACAAAAACAAAGATCGTTAATATTGATTTTAATATGTAATTTCGTCCAAATTTGAATTTAAAATGTCTGTAAAAAATAACTGTGTTCATATATTTTTTAGATTTTTTTGGTTACAGTATGAACTATTTATGAGAACCTTTGTTTTAAATTTGCAATCTTTAGCTATAAAAACTGAACATTTTATAATTTATTAATTACAATGATTGATAATTTTCGAGATTTTGTCAAAATTCGATGTTTAAATGCTTATAAAAAAAAATTGAGCCTATGTATTTTTAATATTTTTCAATTGCTACTGTAACAATATATCAGGAACCTTGCATTAAATTTTTACACTTTTTGGCGCAACAGATAAAACTTTATTGATATTTATAGAAAAAAAAAACTAAAAAAATTGAACAAACTTAACAATTCGAAACTTTTCTTATCTATCGCAATGTTGTAACGTTTTGACGCACATCACCTTATCAGGATTCGTTGATAATAAAATCACAGAATAGATTAAATAATAGAATATTTTTTAAGTGTGTGTTATCATTCACAGATATTTTGGAACAAATTTCGTATTGAAAAAAAAAAATTTATATATTTTTAGAGTTAGGAAACCGAGATTTAAGGAATTATGTATTAATACAGGTACGGTTCGCAGGAGGGGCAGTTGCCTACTCTGCCACCCCCGTAGTATCGCCTATGGTCATAGTTACCGGGCTTAATTCAATAAAAAAATAAAATATTATTAATTCTAAAAACGTAGGTAGATAGGTAGGCACCTTTACGGCTTTACGACGCGGTACATCGTACATCGTCAACCATCAGGTTATCATAAATATAACATACTTTTTCGAACAAAAGGGAAAAATCATTATAGTTAGATCTATACATTATCATTATTATCTGATGGTAAATAATTAACAATAGTAAAGAATATACCTACGTGAAATTAAATGCGTGTACATAGATTCAATATTGATTTATTCATATAAATTACACTTACTTCTTGCAGCCTTTGAATTGTACCAAAATAGTTTGTATACGTCCCTGTGTGTTTCCTTAGTGTTATTCTCCCTGTTTAAATTTATCCCTCGACAAAATATGTTCTCTTGTCATCACTGTATGACGTGAAACACTACAACGCTAGCCTTTTCTTATTTATTTTATGTTTATACTTTATATACGTCCAATTTTTCTTATAAATAAACTGTAAACAACATTTATCTTAAGGCATCGTCCATTTTTTCTAGCTTATAGGTGTTTTATTAAAGCAAACATAATATATTATTTAATATAATTAATAATAGAATATAAAATATATAGAACATTGAGAAAATATTAAATCTATATTATGCAGTGCACTTTCCTAATAATAAATTAATTTGTATTCCATTCAAGTAAGAGTATGTTTACGTGACAGCATGTTCATAAGTATGCTTATATAATCTATATAGTACACATTTCCCTCAAATCATTATTTGATTATGACCTATATAAATTATAAAATAATCATGGTTATAGGGTATAGTTTATAGACAATCAACAATTAATTTAAGGATAGGTACCAATTATGTCGAATAGGGACAAGTGGGTACCGTTCTGCTATACATTAGGTGTTGTGTGGGTCACTGTGATGGAGTGATGTGATGCAGTGCATGTGTTAAATTTGAAATTAATGATTAACGGAGCGTCGGTAGCGAAGATGGTGGTCTGTTAGCCTGTATTACTATCCATAAGTATATTTAATAATGATATTATTATTTATTGCTATTAAATTTATTTTTTTTTTCCGAGGACATTAAATTTAACAATATCATTGTGTGTATGCAATTTAATAATATAGGTACTTCAAAAGTTTCATGTAGTTAATTATGAATAATAGTTTTAAATCACAACAAAATAACTAACATGGTTATTATTTGTTTAAATATCTAATTTCGTCCAAATTTGAACTTAAAATATCTATAAAAAAATGTGTTTGAATATTGTTTAGATTTTTTAGTTACACTAAAAAAAAAAAATAGATTTTGTCTAAAACTGGTTTCTCATAAAAATGTCCGTGTTTCCCGTGTTTTCCATAATTTCATTGTGTTTTCTAACTCTTGTGAAAACTACTGGACGTTTTAAAATTTGACTTCTCAAAAGTACCAACTAGAATCTAACTGAAAAAATTCAAACCTCATTTTGGAAATAAGGAATACTGTCCCGACGTTTTTCTAAACGAGGCCCAATATTCCTTTCACCTTCTTACTATCTAATAATCCACTCCCATCTTTGCTATCTAACATTTGCAATTTAGCAATTAACAAAGAGACTCAATATCTTCTTATTTCCCAATATCCGCCACACTTGTCCCCTGATTTATTTAATATATACAATATTATACACATCATATATTCCTAAGATGGCAAACACGATTAGACCAACATACTTTACATACTTTCCGACACAGTCCCCATTCAGGCTTCAACAGATCTTCAGGATTACTTCGACTCTATAAACATCTGAGAAACTAGGTAGAAAATTCTAATAACCTTGAAAAATGTATAGATGTACCATATACACATTGAAAAATAACTCCTCCCCTCACTTCAACTTCAAGGAGCTGAGATACCTACTAAGTTTCAAGAATCTAACTTGGGGTCCTCACTTATAGTCTAAACTCAAAATACCTAATAATTACCTTCATCCGCTTAATCTTATATTTGGACCCAATCTATGAATCTACACTTAATCTTCAAAGTTAAAATTTTTAATGAGGCCCATTTAGACTTACGGCGTTCAAATCTGGGGGTGCACCAAATCATCCCAAACTCATACTATCCAATGCTTTCAGTGTATCACTCTTTGCCTTGGTCCTCTTGGTACATTAACAAATCTCTACACAAAGACTTGAACAAAATGGAAACTGTTGATTACCTAACCAAAATCCATTACAATAGCTTTCACTTAAATGTTAACAGCAATCTAACCCTTTAGTCTCTCATCTATTATCACTCATTCTTCCTGACAACCCACTACGCTGCATCAAAATGCGGTAGTGCCATAACCTACTAAGTTAGTTGATTAAATAAACAAATTCCGTTCTAAAGGATATCATCACTGGATGGCTTCACACATCATATGTATTTATGTTTTGTTATTATTATGTACATGTTAGTTTGTTATCCTATTTACTTACTCTATTAAATGAATAATTCTAAGTTTTTCTCTCAATGAAAAAAAAAAGAATACTCAAGTTTCGTAGTCGTAAATAATATAACAATATAATATTATATAATTTTATGCAAAGATGATGGAAGTACGTACTCAATACAACGTGTAATCTATCCGTCTAATCACCAATTTCAAAACTCATGAAAAAAAAATATAAATTCTTATAAATTAGTAAATAGTAAATAATGCATATTATTATTTTGACTATTATAATATTACCGCCTAAAGCCAGTAAAACTGTTTAGACATTATTCCCGTAAATCTTAAGGACTTCAAACTACACCACTACATAATGTTGTTATGCGGATACGATATTTTAATGAAATTACTTCGACATTAATAATACATTATATTGATTTTATCGAGACATTTTGAAACTGCCATTTCGTCGTGTACAAATATAAACGTCATCTGAAATACTAAAACGAAACCCTAGAGCTATTAGAATTTCATTGCTCCACTCCACATCAAAAATCCACTACATATTGTACTTAGAGATTACCTGTTGTACGATAGGTATTTCAGTTTTTGAGAAGTAAAGTATTACAATTTTATAATGCTCATTACTTTAAGTTTGATAATAGATAAGTTCACTCTAATATTAATGCTAACAGGCAGTAACAGTACAAAACTAGTACTGCTGAACACAAATTTACCATGTTTTACATTAATTGTAAGACGGAGAAAACACAGCAGGTGTGGCGGGTCCGCCTAACGATTTTGTGTAATAATATGTTCATTGTTCAACAGTATTGTTCGTTTTAAATCACATTTAATAATTTACCGACTTAACGATACTTATTATTATTAGAATTGTTATTACAATTTAGGCTGTAGTATATCAAGAATATAAAAATGTAATGTCAGCTGCATACAATAATAAATACAATACGCCTCCCCGATATAAATATATATTAAGAATAACAATGCATTGTTTGTATATTTTAATGAACAAAATATGCATTGATAACGTATAAATTCAAAAAACTATTCGTGCTTACTGCTTACGTGTCTACTTTGCATCTTGATAGATACGATTTGGGAGGTCCATAAAATGTTTGAAATATATTATGCCGGTGAACATCAAATATGTTATATATTTAATGAAAATATTTAATTTAATATAATATCTAATCTGTGGTTTTTATTACAGCGTTTGTGTAGGCCATCAAGTGCAGCTTAAAATACAGAAGTCGATTATTTTGAATTAATATTCTTAATTGGAAAGAAATCAACATGGATTACATACGAGAATTTGACATAAGATTAGACAAGGAAATGTTTTACGCAGGAGAAATTCTGGAAGGCCACGTGGTTCTAGACACAATTGAAAACTTCAAATTGAAAAGTAAGTTGAATGAAAATATGGACATAAAAATATACCTGATAGTTTTATCTTAATAATTAAAAATAATATAATTCAATAATAATCTTGTACCTATACTATAATTTTACAGTCATATAAAAAAAAATACAATGAAATGAAAACGTAAGATATTGTATTATTTTAGTATTTTATATATACTTACTTCTATAATAATAGGTACAACGTTTACAATGTTAATAACTGTATAAAAACTGTCTAATAATATAATACAAGTTAAAATAATACTACTTAAAAATATATAGAAAACATAAAAGAGATTTTTTAACAGCGATTGTGCATTTGTACCTAAGCATAACAATGTTAGACCATTATAACTATTATAAACATATATATAGGGCGACTTTTTAAGCATGCCCTCACCCCCATTTTTCCTTTTAATAGAATATTCATTCAAATTATGATTTTTTTGAATTTTTAAAACAACCTGAAGACCATATGTTCAAATTCCTGATATTTTTTGTACTACTTAAGGAATGTCTTGTGGTGATAGTGTGATACAAACTTCTTTTTCAAACGAGTACTCCTTTTTTACTGAAAATTATTTAGCTAATGAGTTTCTTGTAAATGGTGATGATTCTAAAATCTAAATCAAAATTCTAATGAGTAGTTTCTGAGTTGTTAAAATGTTTATACTAAGGGCAATAATCCTTAAAAATGATTTTATAAAAATATAAACTATAGGTAATACTAGATGTAGTATTTATTATATTTGGATAATTTTTACAATTTTTTTATATTGAATGATCTACTTATACAATTACCATAGACATATTATTATCCTTAGTACACAAACAGTTATATGGGTAATTCAAAAGCTACACGCTCGACTTTTGTTTTAGATGAAAGTGTTAACGGAAATTTTTTTGTAAAATCATTATTTTTATACAAAATGATGAATCAGGACGTAGTACATAGGCTATACAAATAACATATATTAATGGAGATATCAAATTGATAAAAGTGGTATTTATACAATCTGTCGTTCTTGTTTCGTGGATTAAGGTGTTATTGTATTAATCCCTTATTATTTTATTAGCAGATAAAATTTATAATTAAATTTATAAAATTTCAGAGTATTGTTTATGACTTTAAAACACATAATTTTTGTTTTCGAAAAATTCTTAGCATTTGAACAGTTAAAAAGTTCCAAGCGTTTATATAATTACACCACTAAAACTGTCCTCCTGTATAATTTCAAAATTGTGAGTTAACAAATTCATCCACTAACCCCTTCAATCATAGGCGTAATTTCGCTAAAATTCAGGGGGTGCAAAACTAATCAGGAAAGTTACAAACTTTCTACAAAATTGCAAAATAGGTACCGCTTGAACATTTATTTACTACTTTTTCAATACCAGTTCCTCGATCAAAATTCAAAATTGTATACACAATTTAGTATTATCATTAATAATATGAAGTAAATACATTTTATTATATAAATTAAAATATTAGTAGACACTGTAATTTATTACATTGATATAATATTAATACATATTAATTAACAAAATTAAATTAAACTTAAGCATCTGCCATGTACAGTTGCTGCTGCATTGAACTCGTCGATTACAATTTATTTCAGAATCTATAACTCGATTTCTATCAATTTGTAAGTTGTAACAAAGCTATATCAAACAGCCATTCTTGTCCCACAGTTGTTCTGAGGTAAGTTTTAAGCCTTCGTAATCAGGAAAAACTTCGTTTACAAGATGATAGTGTTTGTAGGTATTGTCATAAATAGTGTTAAAATTTCAGATAATAAAGGACACCTATTTTTAATTTCACCTTGTTTCATATAATCTAATTTGTTTTAAAATACACTATTATTTGAGTTAGTTTGTTTAGATTTGAATATTCTAATAAAGATTTTTAGTTCTATTTGAAGTTCATGATTATAAAACTTATAGGTGTTACTAATAATGTCTAATAACGTTAACATTATTTTATAAATATTTAAAAAATTGGCAAAATTATACATTATAAATATAGAAAATTTAGGGGGTGCAAAATGATAGTTTTGCACCCCCTCAACAATTCCAGGGGGTGCAAGTGCACCCCTTTGCACCCCCGAGATTACGCCTATGCCTTCAATTAAAAACGAAAAGAGGAGAGGGCCTATTTGAAAAACATTAATTTATACTTTCACAGGATGATCCTTAAGTGGTAAAAAAAAATTTAAATGATTCGAAAATATGGTCTTCAAGTTTATTTAAAAATTCTAAAAATATTAATTTGAAGAAATGCATAATTTAAGCATACAAATAGGTTTAGCATGCTTAAAAATTCAACCTGTATGGATTAAAATAATGAATTTTGAACCTTTTGGATTGGAACCCACTAGCTTTTATTACGCCTCGTGGCTCGTCACTATATATTATATTTAAAAAAAAAACATTTTATAAAAATAGTTGTAATTTATTGTGTTACTGTAAACATATTGTATATTGCTTACATTTTGTTAACTTCTCAGTAATTTATCAAATAGTAGTATAGCACTCATAACAGCACACGTGATTTATGAGTCTAAACCAAAACACCAATATTGTATTCATATAACATATTTAATACATTAGGTGTATATCCAACACGCCATATCAGAGACAATTTGAAACCTCTGTACCAATCACGTAATTTCGTTGTAATCATTCTCTTCTATACTGTACCTACCCTACCTACACATAATATATTGCTAATAATTTATGTTATAGTTTGCGTCACCGTTACGCCATCAAAGGCGTGAATTAAGGCACTATATTATAATAGCTAATGACAATATTTCCTATACACAGAATAATCTATACCCCCTTTGTGCGATATCGACTTGAAAATAATGTCTACGAACAGGATTCTCGACCGATATATAACGCGTTTATCGATATTTCCCGTCTATATAAGTACTCGTAAGCCAATAACATCACGGTTTCCGAGCTTTATCAACCATTACCGGTACAAAAGCCCTGGGTACCAAACATTTCGATACGATTATATGTATACATACATTGTTGAATTGTTCCTATTCTGTAGTGGTAGAGGTATAATAAGTAGGCACTATAAGCTCAAACTATGTATAATATTTAGTCTGAAAACCAGGTCACTGCGCGCACAATCACTATACGTCAATCTTGTACTGTATTTTGTGTGTTAAATATTATCAATCTATTGAAACGTCAAACCTGAAACTATATAATTATGGTTAAAACGAGCGCACGTATTATTACCCGCGCAGACTTCGATGTTGATGATTAAACGAAAATTTGCTCTGAAAAATAGCAGGTTATGCACGTCGGATGATTGCCTTAGTCGTCCACAATAGTTGACTGGAGACTATGAGCAAATAGATATTATTATTTTTTTTAATTTATCTCGACTATTATGTTGGTAAGTTATTTTTGAGAATTACTTCAAACCCCTTCAATAATATGTTTATTGTGTGTTATCAACTTATCCTACCTATATATTAAGCCATGACAATTTGGTTGGAAGTTAATTCACTGCGACGGATGCTGTCAAATACATTTTTCCCCTATACAACCATAATCGTCTTTCAGTATTCAATTAGAATTTTTTATTTTATTTGACGGTTTGATTTCTGTTACATAATGTATTTTCTCCTGATCAACAATTAGTTGACGTAATTTACAATGATTCTCCACGTTTCAAGCGGAGTGTAAGGAATTGTCGTTTCCTGATCTTGGCACGTTATTATCTTTTTCAAAATCAACTTAGTCGACACAATATACCATTACACGTAGGATACAATTATTTCGGTATACTACGCGCACATGCGATTTCAAAACAGCGATCGCCCACATTTAATACTGATAATCGTATTGATTATTACAAAAAAATTCCGAGTACCCACATAATATTTTATACCCTAAACGCCATCCCAGCCATTTTAGCGATTTCTTTTACAAAGTCTGATTTACCGATTTTTTAGCAAAAATACCAAGACATAAAGTAACTATTAGCTTAAGTACTTTTATTTATTTTTAAAACGCCAATAAAGTCGAAAAGCAGAGAGCCTTTATAAAGGGTCGTGACTGAATGATTATTCCCCTGGGACCACCCTGCACAAATCGGGCTATGCAGATTTTGTTCTCCATGTTTTGTAAAGCATAATATCAATATCAATCATTTAAACACTTGGCTGAAAGTAGATAGGTACCTATGACCTGCACGGCAGCACCACCAAATTGCTAAATTTTATACGCTTGCCGTAAAAGCATATTATTATGTCTTACCCTATTATTTATTATACAATGACTATTATTCAACGAAGTGATTTAAAACGATTAAAAACGGGTTTAATAAACAATTATAATGTACCAACCGGAGGGTGGAGTATTGTCTATAATATATAGGTCAGTAATGATAATCGTTAAATTCATTTATTTCGGTTCCATTGCCCGCTGGCTTGAAATCTCAATATTTGGGTTAATATATACTATTACCAAGTCGCACTATATTATTACCCACAAATTAAAATTTACTATAAGTACTATACGTATTATCTCCATGTACATAGAGCCGATATTTTTATTTGCATAAAAGCACATCAAACGATCGATTATTCTTTTCATTTATACCGTTCAAATTCTGTTTTGTAAATAAATTCGTATTTATTCATAATTACGTAGACTCTTGGAAACGGTTGCCTTTGGTCAATTACCTCTGGTCCATACTCATTTACATACAAATTTTATAGGAAAAGTATGAAATTATTAACAGTTTGTGATTTACATTTTTAACGAATCTTTGTTTTTTGCTCTATTTAAATTATGATTCCTTGTCTTGACGAATACGTTAGCTATATTAATATTTTCTACTAAAAATATAATAGCTAAGCTATTGTATCGCTAGAGAAATCATCTGAGAAAACATTAATATATTCATTCAAATGAGAACAATAATTATTATTTGTTTAAACATTTATATTGATAAATACAGTTCGCGTAGCTCTA